TCAGTGGAGAACAGTAATCAAGCACATTTAAATGTCAGTGGCACACAGAAACCACTTAGAGCAGCCACAGTAACCCTGCCACTTAAATGTATTCAACTGTAACATTTTCATTTAATGATTTTAAAGCTCTGGCTCCAGGGAGATGTGAAAACATGAGCTCAGGATGTGAGTCAACAACAGAGTTTTGGCAGCAGCATTACCTGTGTGGTACAGGCACAAGCAAGGCCATCCCCACAGTGATTTCAGCTACACAAAGATGAAAGCTGAGTGATGTGCTCATATTACTTCTGTGACTAAAACTGGCACACCAGAAGGACGAACAGGAAAAAAAGTCTGTGCAAAAGTATCCACCTTCCCAATCCATCACTACTCCAGGAAAACAGATGCTTTCAGCTGAAATGTAAATAAGTTAAAAACCCCACAAATAATGGTAGAAAAACATGGCCTTGATATTAAGTCACCAAGAGAAATGTGTTCAAATTTAGTATTTTGGACACACCACTGCAGGGACTCTACGGAAAGGCTGAAGTGCAGCAGGTGACAGGATCATGGCACATCCTTTCTCACTGATGATCTCAGAAGAGCAAGTTAAACCTTTAGGAGAGCTCTGCGACACCTCACACCTGGTAGGCAGCTCCAAGAGGTGTCACCTCCAAGAATAGCAAGGCACTCCTGGCACGAGCAAACAGTGCACAGAGCAGTTGGTCTGGATTTTCTCCAGGGACAGCTCCTAGCCAGAGCACCTTCCCTCTTGCTCAGCAGAAACCAGGCCTTTAAATGGCCATTCTGCTAATTAGCAACGTTATCATGTTGCATCCAAACCGAAAGGCAGCCAGCTCCCAGCACATCCCTCTCCTTAACCATCTGTGCTGCTTTTCCACTGGGAGATCAGTTAACAAAAAGTCTTCTGTAAAAACTGTTTCCAAACAAACCCCAACTACAAATATGACAGGGGACCTTCTGATTCCCCAGGGTGGGTGCTTTTGGTTGCATTCAATCTTGCAAGGCACAACAAATATCCCATTTCAAGCACCTAAGAGCACTCCCAGCACTGGTCATGAGGGCTGGAATGCTGAAATTGACATTTTCCTGCTTGGGAAGAGCTTTACAACCCAGCACAAGCAGGTAACAGAACAGTGACCAGCAGGTTAAACACCTGGAGTGGGCAAAGCAGGGTTGTGTGAGCCAGGGGCTTCTCAGGGCAGCAAAGAAGCTGCATGGCAATGCAGCCAATCTGTTCGACACCCAGCCTGAAAGGACACAAAACCCTGGATCAACACTTCTGTCTCAGAAAGAAAAAGTGTTTCTTTCTGAAACATCAACAACAAATGGAAGCACAGCATTGGCAAAGGCTGTGAAGCTGTAACTGTTTCTCAGTTTTACTTTACAGTGATGTTTTGATACTGTATTTACTGAGCAAAGTTACAAAGTGTATCTCTTCCTCCTTCAAAGCAGAAAGCGCTCAGTGAAGAGCGGGAAGAGTGAGAGCCGGACCCTGGATTTGCAGTTCCAAGCGAGTTCTGAGACTTGTGGAAGAGCTGCATGAACCAGTGACACTGTACATACCCATCTTGTGCTGTCTTGGCCTGACTGGCTTCCTCTGCCTTTGGAAAAAGCTGCTCCATTCTATAAAAAAAACAAAAAAGCAAAAAAAAAACAAAATGAAGGGAAGGGAGAAAGAAGATAAAACCCCCAAAGTTTCAGTTGAATCCTTGTTTTCCTAACATGACATCCAGAGGCATTTATCCACTTCATGGATAATGGAGTTATGCCTTTGGTCACCCAGCTACAGTCCTGAATGTGAAATCATAAACAACTGCTGAGGCTTAAATGTATTTTAAATATATTTAGAAGGACAATCCAAGCCTCAGGGACCTCCAAACATGCAAGCACTGAGTGGTGAGGCCTCGGGTTTCCAAGCCAATGTGCCAGCAAATGTAAAACAGGAGGATGACAAACCCTGTCAGGCAAATACCACAGTGGCAGGGACAGTGGCACTGTGCCTCAGTCTTTCCAGGTGTAATCCTAGACAATTCAATTTTAGGGACAGCATTTTCATGTGAGAGAGTCAAGGCAGCTCATGGCTCAGCTTTTTGGGTTTTCCAAAGCACGGAGAATTTCTCAGTCATTGTTTAAAAACCAGAAACGGTGGGAAAGAAGTTGAAGGTTGTAGCAGCAGCTGTCACGGACACTGCCTGCACTTAATAAGGAAAGAAAAGCCAAAAAAATGAGTCAGGGTGCTTTGAAACCTGCACGATTCTTCTCTAAAAATAAAAGGAGTTCCTTTGTCGAATCGGAGTTGCAACTGTAAACTAAGAACCACCAGAGGATTTAATTTACAGTAACATTGACTTCCATTGCTGTTGCAGAAAACCACTGGCCTGGACGTTCCAGGTCAGGTATAAAAAGAGGTACAAACAGCATTCCACGTATAAAACCAGGATTTAAACTGTGACACCCAGCACTTTAGGAGCACTGAGTCACAAAACCCTAAGGTGACTGGAAAAAAAAAAAAAAAAAAAAAAGAAAAAAAAGTTGGGATTTCTCTCCGCCATGGAAAACCCATTGGAAAACCTGCACCCAGCAGATGCTGCCTTCCTCCGGCAGAGCCCTCAGACAGAGCTCGCTGCGACCTGGGAGGCGATAAAAGTGACAGATAAACGAGAGCGGAAGGTGGAAAGCCGCGGTGGCTGGAAGCTGGCGGGGGCATCATTCCCTGCGGGAGAAATCTGAAGGCCCTGGCTGACACAGTGACTCGGATACCAGGCTGGGAACCCAACCCCGACTGTACCCCCGGCACCGGACACCGGCCTGGGCTCCCCGCCCGCCCCCGGAGCCGCTCCAGGGAACCCGGCGGGGGCGGGACTGCCGCCCACACAGCGCCGCGCAGGGAAACCCGGGCAGCGCGCTGCCTTCTTTCACCTTCTGCGACAGGTAGAACTTGTAGTAGCACAGCTGGAAGAGCAGGAAAACCAGGCTGGTCAGCGAGAGGAGCGCCAGCACCACGTTCCTGTTGATCTTCTGCATCAGCCCCACGGCACCCCGGGAGCCGCTGCCCGGCCGCCCTCACCGCGATGCGGCTTCAGGCCGGAAAGCGACGCCGCAAAGCGCAGCCCGCCGTCGTAAAACACCCCCCTTCGCTGTCGTAACCCCCCCCCCCCTACTCACGGGGGTCCCTCACCCACCCCGAACCCCCAAAACCGCCCCAAATCCCCCCAAAATGAGGCGGAGGTAAAACGACACAGCGAGAGACACACACAGGGTTGCAGATTTCTGTATTAGTACAAAACATCGCGTCACACGCGGACGGCACCCGCCCCTGCTTCCCAGTCCCCTCCATGGCGGGGGGATCCGGGCAGGGAGCCGGCGGAGCGGCCCCAGGGATCACCGGGATGTGCCCCGAAGGAAAGCCACAGGCAGGCTGGCCCTGCCGCAGGACACCCAAAAATAGCGACGCTGGAGCACGACATCAACACAAGTCACGGTCAGCGTCCATCCAACACCCCGCACGCCTCAAAATAAAAACACGGTCAGGCCCAACACGCTCCCAGGTGGCTGCCCCGGTCTCCATCTGACACGTGGGAGGGGTGAGGAAACGGGATTTGTACACAAAATCCCGTTTTTGTGTACAAATAAGCTGCTTCGACTCTGCTTTTCCTGCATTTCTGAAAAATGAACCTGCCACCTCTGCCCTGCCTGTTTGGTATTTGCAGAAGCATTTATATCCCCAGAAGGTTTTTTTTGTTTGTTTTTTTTTTTTTTAATCATCCTGTCTGACACTGACATCCCTAGCTGCAGTTAAAACACAGTTCTTAGTTTTCCACGAGACAACAGCAGCTATGCTCATCTGATGTATTAACACCTCAAGGAAAACATTTAGTTCCTCAAAAGTCAGGCTTTCAGAGTTAAAATACCTTCAGAATACCAGCAGTAAATACTTAAAAAGAAAAAGAAGAAAAAAATTAGGCATCTCCTTTTGGTCATAGAGCAGAAAACTCCTGTTTTGCCACCATGCAGTATTGGCTCCAGAGTAAATAAGCCTGGTGGATTGAACTGCAGACCTTCAAAAAAATCTGATCCACTGCCAAGGAGCCACCCCTCTCCAAATCCCTGAAAGTGGACTCCCAAAGGAAAAGGTAATTCCACAGGCTCCAGGCATCCCTGTCCAGCTGCAAGCACAAACCCTGCACCAACTGCAACAAAAAGCATCACTGGGAGCAGTGTGGTGTCGCTCATCTTCCTATGATGATGGGTGCTGGAGAGACACTAGTCCAGAAAAAAAAAAAAGTCTAAAACAAAAAATATCTAAAGTGCTTAAGGCAATTCTTCATATCCCCATTTACTAAAGACAACTGGACTAGATGTTAGCAGCAAAAATTTGACATCTGTGCAAACTATTATATAACAAATCCATCCTTTTAAGGGTAAAATGTCACATGTTAAGGTTCACCTAGGACATGAGTTGAACCAAAACTTGCAAGTCACAAGTCACAGTATGAAACACTCCCAAGCTTTCCTCTAACTAAATGTTAAAAGAAAAATTTACATTTTTACATCGGTGCATATCAAATTCACCTTGCAGGCTATACTACAACTTGCTAAAAAGAGGAAAAAAAAAAACAAACAAAAAAAACAACTGCATAATTTGAATGCTCTTGTGGAGGGCTGGATAATACTCATGGTTCTCACAACACATTAGCTGTTTGTAAACATCCCCTTTCTTTCCACAGAGGGAAATTTGAAGAGGAACTGCAGCTGAACACCCATGATGATCAAGACAAGTGGATGAATGGCGATGAGGAGGCGCCAGTCTGTCCTGGTGCCTGGGCACCATATCCCCGGACTAGAGCTGGCTGCAAAACTGAGTTTGTAGCAATTTATCCCCAAGAACTCCTAGTCAGGTGTCCATTGCAGTAAAATGGAAAGAGAAAAGGTTTTACACAGAGTACTTGCATAACAATAACACCTGCAGATAATGTGTGAAGCAGATTCAAACACTGTTGACCAAGAACCACGTCACTTCTGAGTATCTTTGTCCCAAAGCCCAAGCAACAGAACACGCAGAAGAAGGTACAGTTAAACTGGGAGAACTAGTTTGTACTTTCCTCTGCAAAAAGAGATTACAAGTTCACAATGCAAATAATTAAGAAATGCTCAAGTTCCCGATACAAAATAAACATTTAGGGCTCAGCCAACCTGTCAACTTCATGATTCCTCAAGAAAAATAACACTTTCCAGAACAGGTAATTACATTTCCTTGCTAATTTTCAACTTTTTCACTGAACATCATAGCCAGTTTATTAGAAGGTGTCTCAAGGAATTTCTCCTTCTCTTGAGAAATTGTGATGGACAGAAAGGAGCCATTGGTAATATTGAGGTTTAACACGGTTAGATGTTTATGGTTCTATGGGTTAAAGGATATACAGAAGGAAAATATATTGGCCCAGCAGCAAATGAGCCAAATCATTACGGACCATGAATTTATAGCAGTTTTCAGGTGATACCAGAAAACAATCTTCAGTTAGGAAACACCTGATTCATGAGTGTACCTGAAAACTATTTATAGGCTCCTCGGCTTGATTAGAGGGAAGAAAGCAGATTAAAAAAGCCTGTAATAACCTAGTAATTCCCACTGACAAGCTGGGATTTTCCACGAAGAATATAACATGATTTTTTTTTTCTTTTTTTAGCTCTCCCATTACTATGAATCATTTGACTACTGTTTTACTAGGCTTGCAAACGGGGGTCAAGGCAATGGAACATCCATACGTAATTTTCTAATGTAATTAGAATGCAATTAATGCAATGGTGACAAACAGGAGCCAATATCAATACACATGGTTTTAAAAAGGAGTTACTCATGGAAAATAGGAGGATTTTATTTCACTGGGGGAAATAATCACAGCCTGCTCTTACTGTTTCTTCATACCAGGCCTAGACATTCTTACAATATCCTTCTGAAACCATGCTATTGTGGTATTTTGCCAGGATAGGCCAGCAAATCAGTCTGTTTCAAAATGCATCTCAGAAATCACAAATTTTAATGGCAAGCCTAGCATTAATTATTATTTAATTATTTAATTATTAAATACACAGTTAAGTAATTTCCATTAGGAGAGCTAAAAAATTGCATTTGCTATATTCTTCATAGAAGAATAGTATTTATAACAAAATTAATATTCAAGTCTGTAACAAAATGCTTGAATACAGTATTAGAAAAGTCCATAGTAACAGCTCTTGGCTTCTTTTCTTTTTTTTAAATAGGCAACAGTTCAGCTTTCTGGCATTTTTCTGGATTCCCTGCACTGGTTCCTAACACTTTAGCCCCAACACCTTTGCACTATCAGTACCTGGGCCCTAAACAGCAGAAGGTAGCAAACCCAGTAAAATCCAATGCTCACAAGCTTCCGTGAGTAGTAGCTACACAGAGAAACAAAAACATTCAGCAGCAGAAGCTTTAAACAGACATTACTAGGCAACATTATTTAGGCTGCTTGTTGAACCACCCAATCCATTTTCACTCTTCTGAAGAGTTTTCACAGCACTTGGCACCTGCAATCCAGTCGTCACTGTGAGGCCACCACACCAGATCTGGGGGAGAAAAGGAAAAAAATCTGCATTATGGACCAAACACATCCCCCTCCTCCCATCCCACAATTAACTACCACAAACACAGCTGTGTGTCCTCTGTCACAGCCCTCTGTAAAATATTACAATCACAGACATGCTGACTTTTAAGTCCATAAATCTAAGATGCTTCACATACTATGATTCATAACTAAGTTTATAACAAAGACCTAGCACTCAAATCACTTGCTCCTAACTAGAAAAATTCTTTGAAGGCAAATGTTGCCAGCAGCAAGTAAAGTGACAATGAAAAGCAACTCTCACTATGCTCCAGTGCCTCAAAGCAGTACTTATTTTTGTCAAGTCATGCTATAATTATGTCAGCATAAACATATTACAAAAAAAAAAATAAGAAGCTTCAGGGGCACAGGTGTCAGCAACTACTATTCTGCACATGAAAGAATGCTGTATTTTCATTATTATCAATAAGTTTGAGAGCTGTAACTAAGTAGTTTGTAATTTTCACTTGTCCTGTTCAGTCAGTAAGGCTGCTGTCACCCTATGAGGCGCTGGCTGTGTGAGGTGCAGAGGGACAGCCCAAATTTTGGCAAGCAACAGTTTCCCCAGATGACTTGGGAACTGAATTTACATGAGTCAGCCTTTGCTATGCTAGGGAATGGCTAACACGTGTATCCCCTGTAGTTCTGAAGCTGCTCTTTTCTCCGTTATGCTGAAAAAGATCAGCAAGGCAAATAAACAGCCATGAAAAAATCTAGACCTGTTAAAATCCCAGGCCTACACACACCCTGCTCCCAAAGCATGATGCACTTGATAGTACCTTACAACACAGCTGAAGCCTCCCAAATTAGCTTAACTAATTACTTAAATAAAATTAAAGGAAAACTAATAGTTACTAATCCTTCCCCTGTGGGTTTTGGGCAAGGTTTAAGCCTTCAACACTGCAGAAAGTTGTTGCCAATTATCTTAGAACGACAAAAAAAGGTTATGCAGGGCACTGAACTGACTGGCAAGAAAGTCCCACTGAGCTTTTAGGGATGTGGAAGGTGGAGACGTTTTTTCCCCACTGGAAAGCATCGGGAGCTGTTCTGTCCCATGACACCTGCTCTGGTGGCTCAGAGCATCCTGGGCTCCATCAGTTCAGATCAGTTATTGCAGTGGGCTCCTCAGCCACTGCAATGTGCTGTTAATTTCATACACACAATTTAATGACTTCTGTTTACACAGCTGAGACATCCAGGTGCAGAGTCCTGCTGGGGTGCCACAGTAAGCACCACACAAAATCCAAAAGAGAACAGTTAAAACACTTATAAAAATTACTAGTCAGCCAAACCAAGCGCATGCAGCTTCCTTCTTTAAAAAAAACACACAAGTAAAACTGAATTCAGTGCTAGAAATGGCAAGATTTTCTAGATACTGACCATGAAGCCTGGTAGCAATGGTTGGGTAAACTTCGTTCTGAAGGTGTGTAACAATGCCTTTGAGCTTGCATTATAAAATGAAAGCTGACCTAAAAGAGAGAGAGAAAGAAAGACAGAGAACAAGTTGAAATTCAGCTTAAACATAGCTAAAGATGCAGTTGCTGTCTAACTTGTACAAAAAAACTGATTCTTTTCGAGGACATGCTAAGTGAAGTCCTCAAGAATGAAAATTCACTATTTTCTCTGAATTTCAGTAGCTCTGTCATACAGATGAACTCTGTCATTTGGCATGACAAGCACTTAGGGTCTGTGTTGTCACAAAAGACTGGATCAGTTTGGAAGTAATGCACTTCCTCAGCCTTGGACTGCTCCAGCTCAACAGAAATAGTAACTAACTCTTTTCTACTAAATCTCCTAAGGAGAAACTTACCTCCATCGAAGTCACAGTATACTCCTATTCTGTCTGGGACAGGTATATCAAGAGTCTTTGCTTTATTGTTATGCTTGGCTGAGAAGGTGGTTTGCAGCCAGTTGTTGATATGGATGCACCAGCTGGAATTAGTCTTTCCCAGCTGGTCAAACTTCCCCGGGTTTCTGTATGTTACTCCCACGCTGTAGGATTTGCAGTCCTTCTGGGCTCTCACTTCCCAGTAATGCTGTCCACTTTCAACAGCAGTGTCTCCTAACAACAGAAATACATTTAATTAATACAGCTGAGAGTAGTTAATTACAACTGAGTGTACCTTACTAAGGTGTGCTGCCTTCCTAATAGGTAGCAGTGATGTCTTCTCTATTTTGTTTTAAGGCAAAGAAATCTGAACTATAAGAAACAAGAAAATTTACAATAGAATATAAATATAAAACAGAATAATAAGAGTGTATTTAGCTACACTCATTACAATGAGATACATTTAACACCAATTCATGTTTAAAAGCAGTGCATGCCAGTCACTAAGAGCTTTGTAACCCAAAGCAGAGCTGAAAACACAAAATTCTGGTGTTACATGGACAAACTGCTCCAGGCAGGGCAACGCTGAGTACACAGCCTTGAACAACCACAAACTTTCCCTCTAATTCTTGCCTGATCTGCCCTTTCCTAACAGAGCAAACGAGTTCAGCTCACCCAGCACGGTGTAGGATTCACCAGCAAAGCGATCCCGGCTGCCCCTTGACAAGGCCCTTGGGCTGTTAGTGGATCTCTTGGGAGACGCTGTGTTGCTTCTGAAGGAGAGATCAACCACTCAAAACCTGGGCACGGCCACAGGAGTGCACACTCAGGTGTCCCTGAGCCCATCAGGTGCAAGAGACACACACACAAACACTCTAGAAAGGACACATTAGTTGATGCCTCTAACAGCATGCATGCACAACAGCGGAGAGGGAAGAGGTGACAGAAGAAAACATACAGAATGTTGTAAAAAAACAACATTTCAGAGGCAGCTGAGAATGGAAACAGAGCAGGGGGGAAAGCAGATGTGTGGCACGTGGTTTGAATGAAACACTTCAGGATGGAAAATGTTCTAATGAGCAATCAGTTGTATAAAAGAATAATTTTAACCTAGTGAGGTTTTCAAACTTTTTTTAACCTTGGTTAGGCCCTCAGAAATAACTACCAATAATTTAACCATTAAACTGAGTGAGGGCCATTTGCAATATTCCTCAGTAGACAGAAAACCACATCTGCTTACTACTTTAAAGGGAATCAGTAGCAAAGAATTCTAACTTCTCAGAAAGAGCTGTACTATTGTACTGTTTAATTTCATTGACAAAAACCCCAAAAAAGTACAAAGTCAGTCTCTGAAGTACACTTGAGAAGTAATTTTTAATTTCTCATCCTCTGGAGACTATCACATATTGGCCTTGGAGGAAATATCACCTACTGAAGAGTTTTCTCTCCAGCTGCTCCTTCAGCTACTATTTGCTAAAGCTACTTGCTACTTTTATGTCCATTAATGCAGTGAGGTTCAGCTTGTTTTCTTTCCAACTCATTCACTATTCTCAAAAACCACTCCAGAAAGGTTTGGGACATGTCCCTTTTTCCTAATACCACCATGTAAATAAAGTCACATAAGAATCAAAAGCTAAGTGATACTATGCTGCCAGATGTATGTATGCTAAAATCTAGTTCATGACCATTTTTTAATTCCATTTACAGAAGCCTACAAAAAAACTAGTGATGAAAAAGCTGTTTACTCAAGCATCACTATTTAGCATGTAACAGAAGACAACTCTGCTTCCAATGCGCTCACAAGAGACACACAGAGTGTACATTGCACAGGTGCACCACATCAAGTGCTTTTGGATTTTGTAAATATGGGGGATGCTGCAGTTTACTTACCAAAGGAAAAAGTTAGCAAGTGATAGCATGAAAAAAAAAATAGCAAAGCCAAGAATTAAAGCATAATTTCAGAGGGAGGCACTCTGCAGATTCCAACCTGCTTCATGTGCATCAGACATCATCCACTCACATTCCCAACAAATGCTGCTGAAAATTTTCTGTTAGACCCAGTACAAATGGGCTATGCAGAAAGCAATGTAGCAATGTGACCATTTAGAGAATCACAATAAGAAAAATGGAGGCACTTTGCTAGAATTTTCACAAGGTTAAGAAAGCATTAAAAGCTTCTTGGTATCATTTACTTTGCTCAAGTCTGTAAATGGCCACTGCATGTGCTTTGTCCTCTCACAATTTAATAGCCTTTATCAGTTCAGAAAATTACACTGACCATTTGACATAGAAGCTGCAAAAAACCAGTTGCTCAGGCTTTTTTTCCTCCACAGTGCTTACATCTCCCTTCCAATGGAAGGCAGCAAATTTCATAGCAGGAATTCAGTTTTGTGCCTGTTTTCCAGTAGAGCACAGTCCTTATTAGCCAGTAACTGACACATTTCTTCCAATATTCAGTGGCCAGATATCCTTGTCTCATGGTTTGGGATTGCTGCCTACAGCACTGCAATTAGTCCCCATTTCCTTATCCATTTCAGAATATACTCCACACAACATGTATTCTCTTCTGGAGAAGAAAGGTCAAGGAAGGAGATCAGAAATCATTGAGAGGCTTTTTCCTGGTCTAATAAATGAAAGGTAATTAAGAATTTTGTTGTGATTGTGTATTTCCAACTCTTCAAAACAGCACATTTTTTGTTTAAAATAACTCCACTACAGTTTTTCCCCCACCTCCATGGAGCCAGCTCCCCTGGAGGCAGCTCCAAATTTCCCTTCTAACGCAGACATCCCACAGATGTTTTCAGGTGGGAATAAAAGCCTCCTACAAGAACAAAGCTCATCTAAATCCCCTGCTAGAAAAGCTCAGTCTGAGATGCAAAATTGAACATGTGACCATGTCCTTCCAGCAAAGCAGAGCCAAGAACTAGGGAAGTTCTCTACTGATAGCTACAAAGAGAGAGCAAGGTGTAAAATTCCCTGAGCTGAGCAGATAGAAGCATCTCCAGGACATTTTTTAAATTTAGTTTAGCACAAATTGCCATAATTTGTGTAGTAGAACAATTGAAACAGAATGGCTTCAGGAGCTTATTTTGCTTTTTGCATAAGCTTTTCTTTACTTCTGATTTCAAATCAGAGATTGATCCACCTGATAGATGAATAACAGGGGACTAAAATGTGTAAGAAATTAGGATCCTGGGCACTTCTTTTAGTCCCACAACTTCTAAACCAGCAAAAGAGAGCAAGATATCAAAAATGGGAAAAGCAATTTCTTAAAAAGGTGTTTTACTAAAAAAAAAAAAGAAAAGATGTGACACCAGAAAAACACAACTGCACAAAGAATAGGAGAATATTTTACCTAACTTTACATCTCAAAAAAAAAAAAACAAAAGGCCTTCTCATTCAAACACTTGGTTCTGCAATTGGAATGACCATGAAGCTTTTAACATATGCTTCATTTCTTCAAACATGTAAAAACACTTACTTCTTATCTTCTGGTGTCTGGTAACAGCTACAGCACAATTTCAGAAGCAAAGAGGTTTTTGAGGCTCAAAAATAAGCACAAAAAATATTTTAAAGTTCTCAGAAAGGAGACCTTTATCATATTTGTAACAAATTTGCCAAAGGGTTAAGGAAGCATCAGTATGTCTGTAAGTAACAGGGATCTTTGGATCAACGTTTAAACACAGGATGCCCTTCCAGCCATTGCAAATCAAGTTTCATACACATTAGGATGAATCCTTCCAGAAAGACTCTCTTCCAGTCACTGGAGAATAGGTCATCTCTATGAATCCAAATTAAACTGCAAAATAACTTCTACACGCACATGTGCACTGTTACTGATAAAGGCTATTAGATTTGTTTCTCATGACATCAAGCAAAGGGAAGTAGCACAGATTCCCAACAAAACTAGGCGCTAGATCCTAGGAATAAGAGGTATATTATCACCTTCTATTGCTCTTCAGCAGAGGATTCTGGCCACTGTCGACAGAAATAAGTAGTCATTAAAGAACTGTTCTATGACTAGAGTAAATTATCCCCAGTTTTAAAATGCTAATAGAAGTTATTCTGTCACACTTCTAGCAATATATGCCTGTGGAGAATGTATTTGTTCATAAATTATCTCCAACTCTGACTATGGAAAGTCAATAAACCATGGCTAAGGGAGAAGCCATTTGTGTGAACCCAATCCCACAGAGTATCCACAAAACCCAAGAGGTGAGGCACAGACTGGGAGTGGGGCTTGGGCTCTGACAGATCCAGCTGAACACCAGGCTCACAACCCTCCAGGTGAGGGAAATCCACACAGCAGGACAGGCTGGGGGAAAGCCACTGAAGAGTGTGGGAAGCAGAAGGTGACAACAACAGTGCCCAGTGCCATCATGGACAGCCACACTCAGCCTGCAGTCCCAACACAGTGACCAGGAGCCCAAGGCAAGTGACTTCTCCTGTCCTTTTGACAGCTGTGTCCTGGTCTGGGCTCCTCAAATTTACACCCTGACATAGCAGAGCAAGTCTGTGGAGAGCCAACACCACAGTTAAGGTCTGGGGCACAGAAATTCAATGGGGTTTGCTCTGCCTGAGGAAGACAAGAACCAACTGCTGTCTTTAATGAGATAACAGGAAGGGGAGCAGAGAAGATCAAGCCAGGCTGTCCTCACAGGGGTCACACTGGTGGCTGAGAAGCACCTGGGAGTCACTGCACCACAGGGGATTCCAGTCAGGTACCAGGATATTCCTCCCCTCCCATAAAAGTGGCCTGAAACAAAGGGCTAGCAAGTTAACACATTGCTCATCCACATTCTTCATCCCTGGAAATATTCAAGGCTCAGCCACAGTAGGCAGAGTTAAACATTCTTCCAACAGTGTTTATCCAATGACTCAGAACAGCAGACATCTAATAAACCTACCAAGAGCTCTGCTGAAGTGAAGTGCTTTTCCTGGATGAAAGCACTATGTTTAGAGCTGCCATATCCACAATAGTCATGTTTCATTATCCATTAGCTTTTGCTGTCTGTTTTGTTTTATTGGTACTTTTTCCCCCTCCAATGAGGGTTTGAGATAAATTAAGACATCACCTATATATAGTACCAGTTTTATTTAACCTCTTCTTTCTCAAAAAGGCAAGGCAGTCAGCTCTTCCCTTACTTTTTTATAGTAGAAATGCTGTCTATTGACCAGAATTGAGCTGCAACACTAGTAAACACAGAATTACATCAGCTGCCTGTTCACATTTACCTTATCTACTGCCCTGGCCTTATCTGGCAAGGTTTAGGTAGCAGGAGAAGGAGAAGCCATAGAGGAGGTGGGTAGCCAAGGTCAGTCCACCACAACTACACCTTAGCTCAGTACACTGAATGATACCCTAACAAATGCATTTTTTAAATAAAGAAATATTATTTAACAATTATGACACAAATCTAGCCCCTGCATCAGTATGGCAGAGGAAGAGAAATGAAAAAAATTAAAATTTCTTCCAAAGAAACACTTCTGAATGAAAATTCCCTTCATGTCCCACTGTCCCCAAGTGCTTTAATTCATTCCTGTCCTCTTCCTTTAACTGCAAGATGATATGCCAGACACTTACAAAACAGAGTTCTTACCTGTTTTTATTTTCCTTCCCTTTTATTTTTTCTTGGCCTTTGCCTCCAGTAGGATCCCATTCAACGTAGGTGTCTTCAACTTTCAAGTTCAGATGAGATGAAGTACTGTCCAAACTGAACACAAATGCTGGTCAAGACAAAACAGAAAACAGTGAAATGGTATAATGGTTATTCAGAGAAAATGATAGAAGCAGTAGTAAAAATGTTTTATTGAGCATAGCGAGCAGAGTTTTATTGAGCATAATGGAAACTGCAGCTTTTCAGTCTGACACCTGGAATCAAAAAAAGCAATACAGGCTCAATTACCTAAATATATTCACAGACTGTTCTATAAACATCCTGATATCATCAGATATTACAGACTGACCCTGAAAGAACACATATCTGAGATTTTTAAGAGTTTAGAGCTCAAAAATGCACGAGTGTAAACAACAGTCAGGTTAAGCATACGGACAAGGAAATTGATTTTCTCTGGGTTGATTATTAAAGAAAGTGAACAAAATGTTCACCCACGAATAATGAAAATAATATGGGAAGCATGGTAACTGCCCAGAAGATCAAAACCAGAATTAGTTTTCTGGTACTGGACTAGGGAATTATGTGGCTATTAAACAGATACTATGTCTCTGACAATGACTGCTGCTTAAGAATATTAAAATAATTATTAAAAAGTTACCAGAATGCCCATCCGCTCATTCAAATTGTATACAGCTTTTTCCTATGAAACAACATTCAAAAGGAAGAGAATTTATACTTATATAAATTATATAGTTGATATCAGTCATTTTGCCCTTTATACCAAACCTCAGGATCACTCTCTCACCTTAAGAGCCAAGATTTGTGTTCTGTCACAAAACATCCCTTCCAAGAAATTTCTCTTTCGGTTTATTTACAGAATGTTAGAAAGCCACCCTAACAATTCTCACATCAACTAACATCACGACTGCACACCTTAGGCAATTGGAAGCTGCCAGCTTTTTAAATATTGACAGTGAAGAGAAACTGCAGCTACAAAGTCAAGAAAACCCTTTCCAGCAACTTCTAGTTACAGAATGCTGTCTGCCACTAATAACAGGATCATCACACCAACTGTTTAGATGCCCAAAGAGTCACCCACAATATTCATCCTTCTTCTTGCTGTATGTTGGCATCATGCAGTAGCACATGGGACTGTCACTCCACAGTTCAAAGCAACCAATGCCAAGCTTTTGGAGAAAGTGACATTAACTGCCCCATTTTTTTCAGGGTCTGGATGCCAAAAGGGCAGCTCTGTGCCAATAAGCTTCTTCATCCTTTACAGTTGTTTCTCTTTCCACTAAGGAAGCGTTTCAGCAGGACTCATGCAGAAGCAGACTGAACATAACAGGTTCATATATGAAGGCAGGGAAGTTTAAGTGCAGGATTTTCACCACAGATAAGGGTCAGGGGTTTTTTAAACTTTACCTTTGGTTTCCAGAGTCACGGGGTCGGAGTATTCACCTGCCACAGCTTTGTTGCAAGCTTGTACTCTAAGGTTCATGTATTTTGTATCAAATCTCAGACCTACAAAGCAAATGTTTACAAATTTGAAGTTGTGTTTATTTCTGATGACTCCTACAAGACTGAGATCCATCCCCATGTAGCTGCCTTTCATTTATCTCAATCTGCAAAAAAACATGCTTGAATACCAGTGTGAACTTCGTTTAACACACAACTTTTGATAAAACCTCAAAGTCAAAATAAAAGACAGAACTGGTATTGTACAACATGTACAATATGTACATCAGTCACACATGACTGATGTGATATAATGGCAGCTTCATTACATGCGGAAAAATGGGCAAAACTGCAAAACTTCCAAGCATAAAGAGTTATATCAATATTCTTGGGTTTCAAGCATAAAAAACCTTTACCTGATAATGTGTACTGAGTAGCTTTAATGTAGTCAACCAGCTCCCAACGCTGTTCCCCTTTCAGTCGAGGGAGCCCATCAAAGTTGGTTTTCCTATACTCCAGCACAAAATGATCAATTCTGCTGTCCTCCTCAGGCATCCTCCACGATATTGTTATGCAGTTGTCAGCAACCAGACACGCTGCTACATCTATCTCTGGAGCTTTAGGGACTGCAGAAACACAAGCACACAGGTCAGTTTGAAAAGGCTAGAGTAGAGCTGACTTAAAAATATGAACCTACAGGAACAACACCAAGAAACAAACTTCTGTTCCTATGTCTGTGGAAGGTAAATTCAGCTGCACCCCTCACACAGCATCACTTATAATTATTTTCATCACTACAGACACTAATATTCTGCACAAGTTTCTCTTCAGTTACCCAGTTTTTCTTTCTTTTCACCCCTTTGCCTTGAAAGGAGGGGGGAAACAGTTCCTAAGTTCCACTAAAGACTGAAGTTTTGTTTACAGGCAACAAAATTCTACTTACATGAAATCAAAGAGCACTTAAGTCTGTGGAAAAGAAGTTTTGAAAAAGAAGGCATTTCGATAGTATTTGTAGAGTCTAAAGGACATGCAAGGAAGACTTTTGCTGCAGGAAATGAAAAAGAAGTTTTACTGTTTTCAGTTGGAGCTTTTGGTGTCTGAGTAATTTGGAAGCACAGCACTACAGCAGAAAAGGTAAGATTGATATCCTGACAGTGAATTTTCCTGTTAACAAATCAGAGGCCCATTTCAAATTCCTATATATTTAACAAGGAAAAATGTATAAGAGTCACACTAAATAATACCTTTATCGAGATGCAAAACTTTGCTCACACTTGCTGTTAGATCTTTGCACTCTGTTGAACACATGCACTGTGAAATGCAGGGCAGTGATTGACACCCAGAGTCCAAGACTAGAAGGTGAATTTCTGCCTGGACACTGCCAGATGACCACTAGGAATAACAGTGGTCATTTACCACACCTGCTACCACATACTGTATCTGCAACACATGGGGCAGAAATGAAAACTGATGCTGCCAAGTCCTTAACAGATTTGGATTCGTGACCTAGAGACGAAACAACTTTACATCCCTGCCAGCAGTGCTCTTGTCAATATATTCTCAGTAACAGCCAAGGGCAAAGTGTTTTAAATTGGAAAGCAATAGGATTAAAAAGGCATGGAAGATACACACTGGTCTAATGCACCCAAGTTTACTATCAAACAGGAACAGATGGATTAATACACAATTTGTAATATGGAAGTATCACTGTATAGTGGACTGTCCCTCACCTGTATTTCAGACTATGTCACCACTCTTCCAAGCAATGTGTAAGTTTACAGTTTCACACATAACACTCCTGCACCTGAGCAGGACTTTGGGGTGTCACTTAGAATCAAGCCAGCATGGACAGTCCTAAGAAACCTCAGGTAACTTCACAGAGTACGGAGGAACTGACAACTCATGAAAAAACATGGTCCAGAAGACTCACTCTCACTTCTGAGACCAATACTGTTTTCCAAAATGGTGTCTTGTGTAGAAATCAACACAATGAAACTAGGAAACTCTTCTCCTCAAGGTATCCAATTTAACATACAATGAGTAAGAATGAGTTTAGGTACTCTGAAAAAATTGTTTATTAGGGTGCAAGAGGTGCAATTTTCTTTTGTTTAGTTGGTTTAAATATAGCAAGCTGTTCACGTAGCAACAAATTAAACTCACTGGATATGGTTTTTACCTGGCAAAAACTTCACAGCTTGGAGCATCCTCTTCTCCAGGGCAAAGTCCACCATCATATGAGTCATACTGTCACTGACTTTTGGTTTCAGAGAGAGGCGGAACGCCGAAGCCACTGTGACACTGAAGCCAAGAAAGCAGCATTAGCAAAATGTATTTCCCATTGTCAAGTCCCATATCCCATTTTCCAAAACAGCAATCAGACAATCTGCATCACTGACGTCAAACCACCGATCAAAGGTTAGAACATTTTTCTAACACATAATTGTTTACCATTTAGCACACTCAAAATAGAAAGTTTTGTTAATGTGACTGTCTCAGAAAAATGGTGTAAGCTACCAGCTGTTCCATATTACTAAGCAAATAAATACTAAGGAGATGACTAGAGATGAGTTTAAAACTCTTTACTAGTGACAAAAAAACCTGGATAAGAAACAAAACACAATTCATATCACTTGACATAAATTCAGCAAGCATGAAAAGTTTGAAGTAGTGCATACTCAGGATCATGTTTATGCATTTCTAAACAGAAATTCACAAGCTCACTATGCTGATATTATATCTATCTATTACCTTTATCAGGGAATTAAGAGATTTTTCAAGCTGTGAATTAGAACATGCAAGCACCAGACCAGTTTTACAAGATACACTAAACACTGAAGGACCTTAATTCAACAAAGGAAATGCAGGGTCCTGCAGCTGGGCAGGAATAATCCCAAGCACCAGCACAAACAGCTCTGCAGAGAAGGACCTGCAGCTCCTGGGGGACAAAGAGCTGTCCCTGAGCCAGCAGAGTGCCCTGGGGACAAGGAGGCCAAGGGGATCCTGGAGCGCCCTTGGGAGGGCATTGCCAGCAGGTCAGGGAGGGATCCTGCCCCTCTGCCCAGCCCTGGAGGCACCTCTGGAGGGCCGTGTCCAGCTCTGGATCCTCAGAGCAGGAGGGACACAGAGCTCCTGGAGAGGGCCAGCCCAGGCTGTGGGGGTGAGGAAGGGCCTGGGGCATCTCCCTCACCAGGAAAGGCTGGGGGAGCTGGGGCTGCTCAGCCTGGAGAGGAGCCCCAGCTGAGAGGGGCCTCAACCCTGGGTGTCCCTGTCTGCAGGGAGGGGCAGAGCAGGGTCCAGGCTCTGCTCTGTAGGGACATTGGGACACGAGGAATGGAATGCCAGGAAGTTCCACCTGGACATGAGGCAGAACTCCTTCCCTGTGCAGTGACTGAGCCCTGAGAGGCTGTGGAGTTTCTCTTCACTGGAGATATTCCAGGACCTGGACACAATCCTGTGCCACATGCTCTGGGATCACCCTGCTGGGGCAGGGAAGTGGGATCAGATCAACCACCGTGGCCCTTCCAACCTGACCCATCCTGGGATTCTGTGAAGCACAGCTCCCATTTCCACTCCTGAAAGCTTAGCTGAATACTATTATGAAGGCTCCCAAGACATTTTTGTACTCCAACTACACTACCAAAAAATCCCAATAAAAAACAAGGCTCTCATGTAATTTTCTAACTCTGAAGATACCAGGCCGTGAAGCAGATTTTGAGTAACACTGATTCAGTGTTACTGAATCAGAGATCAGCACAGAGATCCCAACTCTTCCTTTAAAAAAAAGATTCTCAACTACAAAGTAATATATACACCACAAAAGTCAACTGCCAAGACCTGAATCCATTTTACACCCACTGATGTGTGGCACCTTTAGAACACCTAACACATATTCCTTCCTGCTCCTTCCTCACTATGTAAGAGAGATTGCATGCTAACCACAGATACATCAAAGAACACTGAAAAACAAAAAATATCTGGTAGTGTGGAAGGAAGAGGAAATGTGAAGTTGGATATTAAAGAAATATGCAAGTCAGGAGTGATGAGCTTTGCAATTTTGGGGTATGAGACAATTGTGAGACTGAGCTGAACATCAAGAAAGACAATTCAATTGATTTCCAAGACAAAGCTCACGCTCTGAAATTCAGCATGGGCTGCCTAGCACATCAGTGCTCAGCCAGATGGGTAGAGAAAATCTCTCCTTAAGGAAGAATAATCCTCTTATTAGCAGCAAGAGAACACCAGGGAACAATGGGCTTCAGACAACTTTTCACCTTCTCTGCACCACTCTTGGACAGAGAACCACAAAGGATTTGGTGATAATTTCAAATTTCAGGATAATTTCAGGAAACCACAAGAGGATACCTATTACTGACAAAAAGTACTAAAGACTCCCATCACTGACACTATCCACTCTCTCTCTGACCTGTTAAGGATACCAAATCTTTACCTCTGGAAAAGCAAAGATTAAATTAAACTCTAACAATTACTCATTTTACACAGAAGTTCAGAGAATGCAGTAAATCAGAGCCTTCACTGAAAACCCTGAACATTGAAAGCCAACCTATTTGGTCCAAAAAAGCAACAATATCCTGTGAGCTGCTTCTCAAAATATTATGTACATCATAGAGGGTTTTCTGAACCAAAAGGTCATACTCTTGGAATAGAGTTAACATTCTTCCAAGTGAAGAAAATGGCCTTAGTATTCATTTTAATACAGTCAAGTTTTGCTTTTTAAACAATTGTTCACAGAAAAGCTACCAGAAATAATTTCATGGTACTAGTGTCACCAGAAGTATTTCAACAGCTACAAGACTTTTCACATTTTGAAGAAAAATTAGCTAGCAAAAGTCTTTAAGTACTTGAAAAACAAAACAAAAAAACCAACAAGATTCTCTCACAACTAAAAGGGGCAGAGTCAGCTTGAAACATCGTTAAGCTTCAGCCATGAGGTATTAATAATAAGCTTATTAACAATAATAATTAATGATATACATATATATTCAAAGATATAATAATTGCAGCCGCAGCTGATGCAGAGCTCCACTTCCCTGCACCATAAATATCTTTTTATTTAAAGTTATGGAAAGCCAAGAAAAACCATACTACATGACCAGCAGAGAAGTTTTTAGTTCCCTCTCAGAAGCTGTGATAACTAACACTTAGAAAAGAGTCAATGAATTTGATTAAAGCTGACTATGGCCCTTTTTACAGTAAATGCATTTTCAAGGATAAGATTAATTCAAAGACACAAAAGTGATAGATTTCGTACTGTACCTATCTTTGATCTGTCTGGAAGCCTTGATGCATGTCAGGGAGAAGAGAGAGAAAGTAGTTAGTATTTCCATGCAAGTATCAATGGCAGTAACATGCAAGAAGGCCAAGAACAATCTCTGCTGCATTGCTCAGATTTGAAGCTCAAAATGAGTTCAACATTTTCCTCAAAATGAACTGCCCCGTGAACGTGTTAATAGCATGGGTTAGCACAGCAACACTGTAACGTCTGATGGGGAAAAAAACTGATTTCCAGAACCACACCAAACCAACTCCAAATTACTCAACTTTCTGAGTGTGACTTTGTGTTCTCAGATTTCTCTTAATCATTTAGAGTTACTCTCCATGGCTTTTTAAAAGAGCTACAGAACCAAGCCATTAACATTTAACTGCCATGGTATTTTCTGTGAAACTAAGTGCTTATTTGTGACATTAACCATGCCTGACTTGCTGAACTACACACCCTGGATGGATGCCCTGAGCAAAAAGGAAAAACCAAGTTATTCTAACTTTTGTTCCAAAAGTTAGAAATTGTTGTTGCAAAGGTATAATAAAACTCTCTCTGTATGTCAGCATTCAAAAATAACAGCAATTAGCTCTTCTCAAATAATAGCACTGAAGCAGATGCAGAAGTGATGACATGTAAAAGACAAATATCAATTGCTATGTTGAAAGGCAAAAATTCTCTCTCTTTCACCAAAAGGAGTTGCAAACTTAAGACAAAAGATTATTGCTGAAGTAGTGAGGGCTTGGTTATGTCTGTTGAAGTCTTACTTCAACACTGCTCCTTGATCCAGTTGCTCACTCAGCTGAATCATTTTCCCCTTCAAAGAGACAAGAATCATCAGGCAGCTTCCCAGTTTGATGTAAAAAGTGGAGAACTTCCCAATTTTTCACTAAATATAAATCACACTGAGAAAAATAAATAGAAAATCAGGCTGTCTTTGCCATAAAATTGATTATATATTTCTAAAATGGGAAGCAGAAAAAAACCAAACCAAGTGTTTAGAAATAATTTAGCTTAAGAGGTAGCTTTGCTTTACCTCAAAACAAAGTTACTGTAAGAATTACTGACTGATTTTCCTACACGACATAAAACAGAGATACTTCCCAACAAAATCCTTGGGTTTCACCTCCATGTCTTGTAAAACATGAGAGAGCCAGGACTCAACATCTTCCGCAAAACAGTCCCAGCTTAACTTCACTGACTTAATTTTGTTTCCAGGCCACTGACAGAGCAGGATCAGCCCATCCCACAGCAGCTGCCCAGCAGTGCCTGATCACATCCTACCTAAACACTGAATCCTCCTGTAATCTGCCATTCATGTTTCTTTTGACTCCCAGGTAAATTAATTCCGAGAATAAAGCCTCAAAAATATAACATAGGGAAAAAAAAAAATTAAAATAATCTTATGCTAGTTGCTCCTGAACTGATTTACTGGAGTATCCAAGGAAAATTTGTGAATATACAACAGTCAGGGCTGGAGCTGCCCCTTCAGGAACACTTGCTTCCCCTACCAGGAGAGCAATACAATCAGCTGCCTAATAGCCAAGGCAATATTACCTTAAAATGTCATCCCCGAGTGCACAAGTGTAATACCAGTATCAAATCCTACATATTAGAGCTCACTGAATTGGATTTCAGTATCTTAATCTTCAGACTCCAAATCTGAAGAGGTTTTCCCCCAGCAAACGCTCAGACAGTTTTCCTTGGTGTGTTTGATTGGAAAAAAAAAGCATTAGAGAAATCTGAAATAGAACAACTTCCAAGAAAGTCAAAGCTGCGTTTTGCACAGAGTTGAAGAGCCAAATTAATTTCTTGCTACAAGGCAGAAAGGACAACTCCAGCTGAAGAAAAATACTGTTTAGGAATTGGTGTTCTTAGAGGCAAATAAATCAAAGCTGGCACCCAGAAAGCACGACAGCACACAAACATGCAGCCAAAGGTAAAACTGACACAGGAAGACAGCTTTCCCCCTCACTCTTTTAAACTGACTTGTGTCCTTGTTCCTGTTAAAATGTAGAGAGAAAAAAAGTAATTGGGCCTTGGATTTGGCGTGGCGGATCCCAGTGCTACCAGCGGGATTACTGTAGCAAGCATGACTGTACTGATTCAGGGGATATGTGGAACTGTTTCCTTAATTTGCAAGTATATTCTTCCAGTTAGATACATGTTATTTCACCCTCCCTTTCTGGGGTCACGGTGCAAGTTTGCTTAACAATGACAGCTGTTCAGGAGAAGGTACTGTATTCCCATCCCATCACCCTAAATAAGAAAAAAGCCAACTTGTTTTATCAGAAATTGCATAAAAATTCAGGACTACAATGTTTAACTTGGCTTTTCAGCAGAGCAGTATTTTATATGCCTGCCTATCCTCACTCCAGGTACAGCTGGTAAGTTTGCAGTGTCCAGGAGAGTAATGTAAAGGATATTTCAAATAGAGACAAATGCCAACACCTGTCTCACACACATCCAGTCAATGTTTTCTACCTCTAAGAGCTCCACGGGGTTCTTTATGTCCAGCGACTGCACAGCAAGTTCCAGCAGCTCTTCTGAGCTCTCCAGGGCACGGCTGCACTGGCTCAGCTGATCCTGGAGCAAAAGCAGGAAGAATAATGTGATGTGCTCCCACCAAAACAGCAGTTTGTGAGGCACCAGTCCTAGGAACTCCACAGATTTGTTCTGCATTTGTGACAACTTATTCCCTTATATAACCAAGGCCCCTGACAGTGCCCTCACTTCACTGTGCTTGACAAGTGCACAGTGACACTTGGCACATCCCACAACTCCAAGGGGGGGAAAGCTGAAGCCTGACTTAAAAGCCAGATTTAATTTCAATGTCCTGTTTCCCCCAGCTTCAGGGTTTCAGAAAGCAGAGAAATAAACACTTACATTCATGTGCACTACAATTTCTATTTACAGGGCTGCACTTCATCACTGAATGACTGTGTAGCAATAGCCTTGAAAAAGATGGTGACTTTACCAGCTCTGGAACTGTCACAAGACAATCCTGAAAATCAATATTGCTGTGTAACAAATGGGGATAGCATAACAGGAACAGAGGAAGTTTTAAAATGCTTCTTTTCAGCTGCAAGATTTTTTCAGGAGGAATTATTTATTTACCTGCAGAGCTTGAATTTTACGAGCTTCTTCTTGCTGAATAGTGTTGGCCATGCTCCCCTTCATCTCATGTAGCACAGAGTACAGACCATCAAACTCCTCATCCAGCTCACTGATGGCATTAGAGGAGTTTACCTGAGAGGAGAATTGAAAATGCTGTTTACACTGGAAACAATGCCAAGAAACTGAAGGTCACACAATTCCCTACACACGTTTTGCCACGACCATTGGATACCCTGCAACTGCTTCTCAGCTTATCAAAAAGGGAAAAAATATTAGGAATGATCTAACAGTCTCCTAACTTGCACAAAATCAGCACACTTGGCAACTTTGTTCCATGCCAAAAACCTTGATTTTCCTTACAAAATTGTATATGGATCACTAGATATTTGGAAGGAGGAGGTTGCCCAGTTCCAAATAAAAATATTTCATTTGATGCTAAAAACTGCACTCAAGAAGGCAGTTTAAAGATTTGCTGGATAATTTCCATTCCTGCAGCCAACCTGACCCAGCTTTAGGATGAAACAACTTCTGGCTGATTGACAGGCTGAAGGGACCTAAACCTCATCCTCATGCAGATGCTCCAACAACAACACCTAACTTTAAACTTGAGCCCAACAATTTGAAACTGGTGAAAACAGAAAGAACTTTCTCTCAAGTCTCATCTTTCAGCCTGCCAAACAGAGTAGAAATCTGAAAATACAGACTATTTCCCACTAATGGGAGACACAGATCTTGCATGAGATTAAAGATTATCTTTCCCACACAAAGGAAAAGAGGCTTTGTTTTCTACAAAACCTCTTCAGACAAAATGCAAAGCCACCACACCTGTAATCTAGAGACAGACTTAAAAAATAAAATGTTTTTCTATCTAGGTCCAACATGAAGATGTATTTTGAACTGGATTCTCACAGCCTTTTAGACATTACACAGAGTTTGAGACTAACAAAAGTGCAAAGGTGCCCCCCTCACAGATACAAGCTAGGAACCCTAAAATAAATACCTGAACATTTGATATTGTATGGTTCAGCATGTCAATGAAGTTGTGAATTTCATCATTTTTGTTCACTAGAGTACTGACAATCCTTTGCAGAGTCTCCTAGAATTACAAAAACAAGTGAGAGAAATTGTAAAAAAATTGTCTTGCAATTTTTATCTCAAATCATCACCATTTAAATGTACATGAAAATTCACCACAGACATTCCAGCTGCAGCAAATTCAGTTCTGACAGGATGAGAAAAGGCATTTTCTCAGGACAGTGAAAGAATATTAGACCTCTAGGAAGGATTAAAGATCTTGAAGTGTTAGTCTGAGAGAAATCAAGAACCTGCTTTAAGATACCCCACTGTTTGACATGTTTTTCTACATAAGTGTCCTGCACCAAAATACCCACTGGCACCACAGCTTCTCCAGATGAAAAAGCTGGTGCTTGTGCAGCCAAACAGAAAACCAATAAAGAAAATTTTTAAAGCTGGCAAAAGGAAACCCAGAAGAAAAGCTGAGATCTCCTCATGTCAAAAGAAGCTACTGTGAAATAACCACGCTGACAGTTTATTCTACGTGCAGAATAAATCTGTTAAAGTCATTTGTAAACTTATTCTACAAGTGGGAAAACATTGTGGGTGAGTAATTTCTATATTCCAATTAAAAGTGACCTCAAAGAGGAAAGCTTACTGACAGCAGAGAAAGAAAACCAAGGTTACTTCAGTGATGTGCACCCCAGCTGTTCAAAAACCAGTAAATTCAGCTTACAAAACACATACCAAGGCAGCAAAACTATTAAAGTACATCAAAACTTCTTTTAAATTAAATAAGACCATCAAGACTAATTTTGTTGAGCAGCTAGTTGCATAGTCTAAGAATTTGACAAAAACACATCAATCCTTGGTACTCAATTTTATTAAGTCAAGTTGTATTGTTCAAGAATTTTAAGTAAAGTTGTATCAATAAAGCATATCAGGATATGTAAACAAAAATAAAGGATAACATGAGGAGCTAACTACAAATTTTCTGTAATTTAACTCAGGATGGCTGATAAGAAGTGTTAGAAGCAAATCTAACTCCAAAAAGACAGGTAAACATTGTCTTAATTAATACATTATTATTCAGCTGATCCAGAGTTTCAATTGCTCATCCTCATGTTGTTACTTGATAAAATTTAGAAAACCAAGGCACAGGAAGATAATAAAATACACCTTGGAAACAGCCAGACCACCAAAGGGATGTTGCAGAAGTCCCTCCAAGAAGCAATTTCTCAATAACCATGTACTACTGAGATCACATTTGTTTGCTAAAACCAAGAAAAATGTTTTAGGCTTTCACAGCACCCACAGTGAGCCTCAACACTACACCAGATTTAAAGAACTTCTCCATTATTCCTAAGCTCTGCTCCTTCCTCTTTCTCCTGACACCTCCCAGGGCAGTTGCCAACAAATCTCCCACGAGATATTTATGGGCACCCCAGCCCCTGCCTGTTTAATAGTGCCAAACTCAGAAAGTTAAACCACAAATAGAAAAAAACAAATTTGAGTGCTTTTACCACAGGTGCTGGATGGTGTTACACACAGAGGGAACAGAACAGACAGCAGTGACTCAGGTCTGGACTCTGGGGGAACAGAAACAAGACCTGGGCTTCTCACAGGAAACAGAGGCACAGAAAATCTTGACCACTTCATTACCGAGCACGTCTGAAGGCAGTTCTGTACACACCAGAATGCCAGATGAATCGCCATTGTCCAGCCAGCTGCTTCTGCATTCACCACTGACCAGGGGCAATTGTTTCCACGGGCCAGATAGCCTGGAGATAAGCCTTAGATCCTATGAGCACAACTGTCAATTTGGATGAACACGGAAAACCCACAATCCTCTTTCAGCACGGATCTCAGGGCTTACTCAGCTGCAGCACATGGGGGAAAAGTGTTCCTGCGTGCAGTGCTGAAAATTTTGCTTCATTTTACAGCCACATCCTGGTTAAAGGGGAGTATCCACGTGTGAGGAACATTTAAAAGGCCTTTGCTCAGCCAAACGCATGGCAGTAAGTGCAAGCCAGCTGTTAAAGAAGATTTCCACCTAAAGTTACAGTTAGCTGACTAAATGTGGGTTGGCATGGCTCTTTTTAAGTAAGCTAGCAATTTCTCCGTTACGAAATTCAACCAGGCTTGGTGAAATTTTAATGAGTTTGAATGCTCTTTAAATTAATCCACCAATACTAAATCGAGTTTTTCTAAAACACCAATGCACAAGCCACCAGAACAACAAAGGCTGCCCTTAGGAACCACTATCTTACTCTATTTTCCAACATAATTTTCTCTTCATTAATAAGCAATAAATAGATTTTCTTCCTGGCATACCATACATGCCAAATTAAAAACATGCTCCAATATTTCCATTTCTTCCTTTAAGAGGAATTTCTGAAAAGCCAGTGTAATTTAATGGAGAAAAGGCTTCTAGAAAAATTACCAATGTAAGGAGCAGATGAGGCCTAGGTTTTACATTAGTTTATAGAAGAATCTCAACAGCACTAAGCCCAGTAAAGTTTCTTGGTATTTCTGCACAAAAGGACATTTAATTCTACTGCCCACTGATGAATGCAGTATTTCACAGAATTCTATTACAACCAATTTTCTTTGAGCTTTCTCTCTGACCTCTCTATGTGAGGTCAGTTTCAAATGGATTTTCAAAGCATTATGAAATGTTTATTACAGAGGTAATTTTTGCTGCTGCCAGGGAGCTTCATGATGCTTTTCCTTTTTGTGTCCTAATTTTCCTCTCTGAATCTGATGCACTTTGCTAGGGGAAAAAAGAAAAACAACCCAAACATGCCACTGGTAAAACAAGAGTGTGTAGAGCAAAGGATGGATAGAAAAAATAAAAGGAAGCCCTACAACATGTAGTTTGTAGTCTTGCCAGGTGGATAAACACAGAACACCCACCTTTGAAAGTGAGTAACTAACATGACATGGCACCTCTTGGAGCAGACAGGCACCTCATAGAAACCTAAATTTTGATAAATTAAACAATCACGGCAATGCTGCATAAGAAGGAAGTTACAAAGTTGCTCAAGATCACTGAAGGCTCACAAGCTGACTGCAGGCAGAACAGTTTCTGAAACAGTCCTGGGTCTAGGACAAAATCATGAGACATCATAACCTTCATATCCAGATCAAATTTCAAGGAGGTCATGCTTGCTTAGCTTCCATTAATTTAAACTCCTGCACTTGTCAACAGAGCAAGGCTGCCAGAGTTTGAAGAACTTCGTACAGTACAGGTGACATTACCAAATTAACCCTTGGCAGAGAAGGTACTGTAAAATACAAGATCCACTGCAGTTTTACTGCTGCATCCAGAACCTCTGGGATTCAAATATGATCAATGACCCCACTCAGAAACATCACCTGGAGCACCCACAACAGGGGCACTCCTCATTTATTCTTCCCCCAGAGGGACAAATCTCACATGGAGCAGGCACAGACCCAAACTGACAGTTTCTACCAGAAACACACCTTTTATGGCATTTCACATCTCACATTCCAAAGCACAGCTTTGGAGATATTAGCATAAATAAGCTTTATGCAAAATAAGTTATACAGAATTGCAGTGTTTTGTGATATAGGGTGTTACTTGCTTAGGACGAGGAGCTGGATTTGCTGAAGGTTTGGGCTGCCAGCTGAACTCACACCAAGTTCTGTGTCTGACTGGGATACAGTTAATTTCCTCAGTAACTTCCCAGTGACTCCCACAGCGCCGGGGCTTGGCTTTAGCAAGAGAAAATTACCGTCAATTTCCGTAATTTACAGTAAATTTGAGATCTGTCAATTTCATCATCAGCACCAAATTTCAGATCTGTCCATTTCATTACCAGCACCAAATCACTCAGGCCCCACACGCACAGACCCATTCCCAAGCTGAGGAAAGCACGGCATCCACAGCACACAGAGGATGCCCTTCTGCACTGAGGGACTGGAAGCCAAGAGGCTGAGCCACAACTTTCTGCACAGGAATATCTGTTCAGGAAAGCCCCAACGCTTGGGTGCGCGCATCTCTGCCCTTCGGTGAGATCCCCGAGGGTCTGATGGCAAGAAATGGGAGGAAGGAATTACAGGGCAGCAACCACAGCGGAAAAAAAAATAAAAATCCCCAACAAAACCCTTTTTATGCATTAGTTCCTTTCAACACTAGATGACATCAACGGCAAACAGAAGGGCTTACGCACGCACCATAATTACTTATGACAGGAATACACAGAATGAAAGAGCTCCACAACCGCTGGAGCACTTCATTCCAGAACGGCGGAACAGCCAGGGCTTGGAAGCACCAACCCAATCCCTGCGGCAGAGCAGGCTCACACCGGAACGTCTCCACACGGAGGGAGACACACCCAGCAGGGAAGCGCACTCGGGATCCCCCACAACTCCGCCGGCAGCATCCCTCCCGCACCGCGCCAAGCCTCCTCCCAGGCCGAGCGCCGGGGATGGCCGGGGAAACGCCCCGCCGTTCTCCCGGGCGGCCGCCGCCCCTGCCCCGCCGGGACTCACCCGCTCCTCGTCCATGTCTGCGGCTCGGTGCGGCCGGGCCGGCGCAGCGGGGACGCGCGGAGCGGGGACGCGCTCCGGGCGCCGCCGCCGCTCCCGCGGGATGAGCGCCCGCGCGCCCCGCCCCGCACGCACTGCGCCTGCGCGCGCCTGCGCGCCCCGCCCGCATTCCCCGGGCCGCTGGTTCGAGTCCCGGCCCCGGCGCGGAGATGGGCGGCGGGGGAGGCGGTGCCCTGTTCGCACTGAGAAAGCGTCTCGTCAATCCATACCGATACCTCCAATCCATACCGATACCTCCAATCCATACCAGTATCTCCCATCCACACCAGTATCTCCCATCCACACCAGTATCTCCCATCCATATAAATTCCTCCAATCCATATAAATTCCTCCAATCTATTCCAGTACCTCCAAACTGTATCAATACCTCTAATCCATTCCATTATCTCCAACCCATTCCATTATCTCCAACCCATACCGATACCTCCAATCTATTCCAGTACCTCCAATCCATACCAATGTCTCCAAACCGTATCAATACCTCCAACCCATACCGATATCTCCAATTCATCCCCATACCTCCAATCTATACCAGTATCTCCAATCCATACCAATACCTCCACACCATATCAATACCTCCAATCCATACCAATGTCTCAAATCCACACCAAAATCTCCAATCCATATTGATACCTCCAAACTCGTTTTGCTGGTGCCATAAACTTTACACCAGGTCTTCCCCCTCAGTTTTTCCACTGAGGATGGCAGGGCACTGCTCAGCCTCACCCACCAACATTTCTTTTTTTTAGAAAATTTATCTATAAACACCAGAGGTTTATGTCCAAAAAGGAGCCAGAGGACTCATTTTACTTGATTCAAATAAAGGGAGAGGCCATGGGGCATTCTCCTGGGATCTCTCACATTTTTGGAGGATGCAGCCTACTTTTTATCCCAGTTTCCCGGCCGCATTTCCCTTCTCTCTTTCCTCATTGGCTGAGGTACTTGAAAGGTTCAGACTTCCCAATATGCCTGATACCAAAGATTTTCCTCTGATGTACGACCCTCCCTTTTAATTTTTAATTCTTACTGAATTTAGGGGGTTTTTCTTCCCCATTGTTTCTTTCATCTTTCATTGTATAATTTCATTTACCAGCAAACCTAAAGTTTATTTGTAAAAGCAAATATCTTTTTTCATCTATCAGTAGAATCCTTCCCGTTGTTTCTTTTATCCCCCAGTGCTGGTTTTATCCACCAGCAGACCCACAGCTTGTTTAGAAAGACAAATGTGCTATTCCTCTCATTTTGAATCTCCTCCAGCAAGTCTTTGTTGGAAAAGCTGCTTCTGACCCAGGGTCTCAATGGCTGCTGTGTAACAGGGCAATGCTGAGATTTGTGGGCATTTATTCCTTTCACTACCTGTTATTTTTGGTTTAAAAGGAAATAAAAGAGTGGATGCGTCCAACAGTGTATTCTTCTTGCCCACATATAGCATGGATTTTAAGGGGGCGGTACAATCATGCAACCAAAGGAATAATGATGCTTAAGTGCATGAAATTATTTAGAGGTGAAGGAGGGGACCTAAAGATAATAACTGTGGCACATAAAAGGCTGTCAAAATTTGTGGAGAGCCATTAAATACAGGAAACAGTGATAGCTGTGCAAGAAATTACCGTGCAATGCAGCTTACCTGTGCTCAGCGCTCGAAATGCTCGTGCCCTGAGTGACCAAGAGCTTTGGAAGTTGCCTAGGAGACCCTCGCACATATTACATTGCAGCCATGATATTTTCTGAAAAATCCTATTTCCTTAGGATTTTTCCTCCTGAGAAGCTAAGAGGCCTCAGGAACAAAATGTAAACAATGGTTTACTCTTTCTGTGGAATGCAACAGGTGCATCTGTGATTGGTTACATGCAGTTGTTTTTAATTAATGGCCAATCATGGTCCAGCTGGCTTGGACTCTCTGTCCAAGCCACAAGCCTTTTTTTTTTTCATTCTGTTTTTTGCTATTCTGAGCTAGCTTTCTGATGAAATCCTTTCTTCTATTCTTTTAGTATAGTTTTAATAGAATATATATAATAAAATAATAAATCAAGCCTTGTGAAGCATGGAGTCAGATCTTCATCTCCTCCCTCATCCTTGGACCCCTGTGAACACTGTCACATTACATGTCTATAATGCAATCTTTTTCCACACTTTTGTGGAAGGCTGCCTCTCTGAACACATTCAAACCCCATCTGGACGTGTTCCTATATCTCCTGCTCCAGGTGTCCCTGCACTGGACGGTCCAGTTGGATTTGGGAGCAGAGCCCGACCCCCCGACTGTGCCCTCCTGGCAGGAGCTGTGCAGAGCCACAAGGGCCCCCTGAGCCTCCTTTGCTCCAGGCTGAGCCCCTTCCCAGCTCCCTCAGCCTCTCCTGGGGCTCCATTCCCTTCTCTGGACATCATTCCATCATATGAAGCTGGATGTCCTGTGAGGCAGCTTTACTTTACCTCACATCTTACTAATCCATTCTTTGGGAGTATTTTTTTTTTTTTTCCCCAAAGCTGTGGTGTTGGAAAGGAATAGTAACTTCATGATGATGATGATGATAGCATTTGGCAGAGATGCAGCCACTGGGCTGGAGTGCAGCGTGATGCTTTCCTGGCAGTTCTGAGCACTGTGCTGGAATTAAAATGCGTTGTATTCTTGTTGCATTCACATTTCTCAAGTCCCATACTGTACCAAGCTGTTCTTCTCTGCAGCACAGTCCTTCATGTGTCCTCTCAGAGGCCCCTCCTGGGCTCTCGACCCACCCCTATTTATTCCAGTTACCTTCACGCGCTACAGCTGCTGCCCAACTAAGGACTTCACAGCTGTAGCTCATTTGGAGCAACTCAGACCCACACAGATCTTACAATACATAGATCTTAACAGGGACTCTCTCCATAACAATACATTTATTCAGGCCCCCACAAAAATGCAGCATTTTTTGCATGGACACAGCAATAGGAAACCACTCCCAGTGTGGAAATTCACCACTGTGGGGAGATTTTGCCCCCTGCCAGTGAAGGTAGCAAAGGATGCCTCTCTAAGGGCTTCTCTGCCTCTGTGAGTCCCCTCCCAGCATGGCTGTGCCTTCTCCATCATCAGCTTTGACACCAGCTGGGGTCTCTGTACAAATCACAAATGGGATGGGACTGCTGTGGAACGCACCTTGAGCTGGTTTGTTTTCCAGCATCAGTCTCATTACATGGTTATGACAATGGGAAGATGCCAGCAGCTCACGTCCCAGGCAGCAGACCAAGAACTTAATGTTACAACTTACTTTATAAGTTTCTTGACCAGTCACACAAAGCAAAAGCACATTGACAGTAGTTCTAGCCAACCACTATAAGCACGGGTATATTTGGTTAAAACAATGCTTGCTTATTTTGAATACTATACCTACTTGTAAGTCTTAAAACACAATGCACAGAGCTCCATTATTAAGCTTCAACCTTCCTAATATCTTGCTAGATAAACTTTTCTGTGGTTTAGAGAGCTATTCTAGACAAGCATTAATACAGAGACCATTGTTCTATTTCTCCTTGCCTTTCTACTTGTTAAATAATTTTTCTGCTGACCTATCTCATGGCTGCTGCTTAGCTCCAATCACAGTTCTACTGTATCTGAGGCCTGCCTTTTGCAGCTTTCCCAGAACCCTCTGATTTTGTGGATTCCCACAATTCCCCCTCTCTGTTCACCCAAAACGAAACCTTCATAACCGTGTTGTTTATTACTTGCGTTTCGTACCCTTACTATAATATTTTTGCTTATTATCTGCTTAAAGCTTTTTCTTGCTTGCACTAAACATTGCTGTACCACAATACAGCAATTTAATGCTGTGAGAGTCCAGTCAGTTCAAAGGGCATAAATTGCTCTTGACACAAATCCAGGGCAGGAGGATGCAGCAGCATTGCTCCAGTCTCCCAACTCCATCAGAGACCTCCAGCATTCACTGGCACCAGGCTGGGCCTTGGCTGTGCTTTGAATATTTGTGTTTTTTCCAAGTACCTGATATCTTATTTTTTTCCAATTAGCACCCACAACCTGGGCTGGTAGTGGCAGTTTCAATTTGCAGCCAGTCACAAGATGAGGAGAGAAAATCAAGCCTGGTCATGCTGTGCCTCAGGCTGTCCAGAGGCAAGGACAATGACCATGAGCTCATGAATTGAGGTTTTCCCCAAACAGTTTAGAAACAAAATACTGAAATCCAAAGGGATTTTTCATCTCCTGGCCTGGGAGGCAGCAGGATCAGAAATGGTGCCTGTGGTCAGACACCCAGGAGTAACACTGGAACCCTCTGCTGAGTTCTGGGGTGGGTGGTTAAACTGATTTCTGCAGCTGTGGGCCCACTTCTTAATTCCGGGTTGGATTGTGCAGGAAAATTCAATCACAAATTCCTTTCTAAACTGTGAAAGGAGTTTCCATGTCACCATGGAGAAATATTTCCACAATATTTTATGGGTTCCTGCAGCACTCTTGTGACAATGAGTCCAGGGAACTCATTGCTCACCCGGAGGGGTGGAGCACATCACAAATGAGGAAAGGCTGTGAGAATTGGGATTGCTCAGCCTGGAGAGGAGAAAGCTCTGGGCAAAACTAATCCCCATACCTGAAGCAGCCAGCAAGAAAGATGGAGAGAGAGAATTTAGAAGGAGTTAAGGAATGGCTTCACACTGGCACAGAGCAGGGTTAGATTCAGCATGGGGAATAAAATTCTTCCCTCTGAGGGTGGTAAGCTCCTGGCACAGGTGTTGGTTCTAGAGGAGATAAAAAATATCCTCAAAGTTAACAATCTTCATGTATTTTAGGCCAAAAAGAAATGTCACAGACAGAAGACCCGAAGGCAACAATGGCAAAAAGTTGGAGGAGGAAGAAATACTTCAGGCCCCTAAAACAATAATGCACCACCTTGGGCAACCACAAATAATACAAGTAGAAGTTGCATTTTATCCATCTCCATGCAGGGTGATAAATTAGATGCATCTCTTTATCAATCTTTTTCTTTGAAACAAGGCTTAGAATTTTAAGGGAGGCCTTTTCCCCAGAGCAGTTTTCTTCTG